CATTTTGAGACATTACTTTAAGACAGTCTTAAAATAAAAGCCGACTATGAATACCGGCCTAAAGAGCCTCGACACTTCGATCGTTTCTCTTTCTTCCTGCCCGGGGCGATATCGCGCACCGCGAATACGCTGGAATTGGCCCTGCGGCGACAAGTGGCACGATGCGGCTCGAATAAAAGTCATTGACGTCAATAGGTAGCGTGAGAGACGCGATTCGTATTTATGGAACGATTGCGCTTCGAGTTCTGGTTTTTTTTTCTCCTCCCTCTCCCCCCCCCTGCGTCCTCCACGTACGATGGTTTTTTTTTTCTATCCGTCCTCTTTTTATTTTTTTGTCGACACTGTAATGAAATAAATCGCCATTTATGGTGATATCTATTTATACCCCAGCAACGATACGTTTTTCGCTATTTATCAAACATTATTAATAAGTAATCGATTCTCGCCGTCGTTCGCAGTCGATAGACATGAGTCGCAAGCTGATAACGCGTGCCGATAATCGAGGCCAAAATCACGGTCGAGTTATGTGCGCGCGAACCTTGCCTCGGAAATTAAAATGAATGGTGTATCACGATATCGAATATTCACGTTGAAAAGCATGGGGTAACGCGACTTAAGGCGAATAATAATAAACAGCCTTCGCGCGCGCGCGGCCGACGACTTCAGAGTAAAGGGCGGAAACACGGAGTCTTGCATAACGTATGAAAAAAAATGAACCAATCAAAGTTCTGCATTTCCTTCCTTTCCATGAAATAAAAAAATCCAATCCAAAAAAAGATTAGCTGCCACAACTGAAAAATGAGGTATGACAGCTAAATTCAGTAGTATTATATGGATACCTAACGTCGTGCGAGATCTATATGTATCGTTTGTGTATATGTACATGTCTGCGACACTATGTACGTGTCTGCAAGGTCTTTGGTCTTGCTATTATGTCGATGTATTGATTATTGCTGCAAACAATTTTTTTGTGTAACAGACAATTTGATAGCAAGTACAGTTTCAGCAAACCATATTTAGCTGTGGTCAAGGCTGTGGTAGAGACAATTTTCTTTAACACGGACATATCCGACACTATCTGACAACAAACTTCATGTTGCTAAATAAATTGACTGTGACAGACATGCATATTTTGCTATCACGTCCTTATATTAGCTTATGCAGCAGCAAATCCTCTGTATTAGCAAATTTCATAGCTATAGTAGCTAATGCAATTTCAGCTAATCGGAATTGACTGTGATCAGAAACATTTTTTTTCTGCGATTGCTTGATATTCTTATGCCTCATGCGTTATGCAAAAAATCCGTGCTCCTACCCTACCTAACGAGATAACTCGGATCATCTTATCGAAGAGTTCTTGATTTCCGCTTCAATGGCGAAATCGATCCGATCGAATGCGATCTCGTCGTATCAATTTCTTCAGTTCTGGATGACTAAAATTTCGAGGCGTCGCAACCTATAGCGTAACGCACTGTCCCGGTTGGATTAAATTCTTAGTAGGCCTCTCTCGTTGCAGCCCTCGAACAAGGAGCAAACACGATTGAGCAGTCATGATTCGATGGGCAACAAGGATCATCGTCGACAGAAGGATGGGTCCAGTAGCGGGGGGAGCAGCGGAAATAGCAGCAGCAGCAGCAGCACTTACAGCGCTTTCCGGCAATGGCGACGGAGCACCTCGTTGGGTTCTCATAGCAACCGATCCAGCAGTGCCGGCTCCAGATCGTCTAACTCACTCACCAAATTACCAAACGATCCTGCCACAATGCGAAAATTGGAGCAATTCCCTATGGTCCTGTCCGACACGACGATGCCGGACGAGGATCTCTCTTTGAAATTCCTCGCCCTAGTACGTGTATTTATATTTATATTCTTTAAAGTCTTTGGAGTGGAAATTTCTCACTAAAAATTGAACTAGTCTTGAAAAAGAGTGGCTCAATTTTCAGTCTTTAAGGCCGGTTCATAGTCAGTTTTTATATTCAAGTCTTAAGTTCTATCTTGACGAACCAATCAGAGGGCCGCATTAGCGTCTTAAGACATTACTTAAGGTCTCGAAATAAGAATCGACTATGAATGTAATCAGCCTACGAATGAGATTTCACTCTTTGGAATAACTATTCACTCTAAAAGATTTTTAGAGAGTACATAGCCGGTCTTTTAGTCGCGCACGTTTTTCGAAAAATGATTCAATCGATCACGGCATCTAACTATGTTCCAGAATGCTCTAGATCTGACGGCGCCGGCCAGCGACGTGCTCTTGAAAAACCGACTCAAGTCCTGGTTCCAATTATCGGGCCATCCGGACGGCTTTGCACCTGCCGGACCTGGCACTGTTTGGAAAAGACGGGCGGGCGGCACTGAAAATACGGAACGCATCGTTTACGAGACCTTGAGCAAGGAGGAAGCGTTGCGGGATTGCATTCCAAGGTTTACTTGAAAATCTTTTCAATTTTTATCTAAGAAATAATAAAATGAATACCGCGAGACTCAACTATGGTTGTTCTTTGCAGATATTACCGGGAAGTCGAATACAAGGGCGACACGTTTATCGAGCTGCAGGATCTGCTCTTCGGATTTAACGATCCGCATGTGATGGACATCAAGATGGGCACGCGGACCTTCCTCGAATCCGAGGTGTCCAAGACCACCGCTAGATCGGACCTGTATGAGAAGATGATCGCTGTCGATCCGAACGCACCGACCCAGCTAGAACATGAGCAACATGCCGTGACCAAATTACGGTATATGCAGTTTCGCGAGGAGCAGAGTTCAACCTGTAGCCACGGTTTTCGTATTGAAGCGATGAAACTACCGGGTGCGCCACCAATCACCGATCTCAAGAAGATCAAGTCACATTCGGAGGTGCTCGACATCATAAAACAATTTCTCGGTAACCGCGAGGACACTCGTCAAAAGCTCCTGACGCGCCTCGAGAATCTGCGAACCAAAATTGAGCAGTCAAAGTATTTTGAATCTCACGAGGTACGATACGATATATTAATTTGTGAACCTCTTCCGCTTGTTGTAACATTTATTTTGTACATTTATTTATTTAAATGTATTACTTTATTTTTCAGGTAATCGGCAGTAGTATTTTCATGATCTACGACAGCGAAAAGGTGGGTGTTTGGCTAATAGATTTCGCGAAGACACGGGAGGTACCGGACGGACGGAAGCTGACGCACAGACGTCCTTGGGAAGAAGGCAATCACGAAGAGGGTTTCTTGTACGGATTGGACAACTTAATTTTTGCCATAGAAGAAGTCCGTCTATCTTCATAAACATTTTTCGATGTTCATGTGACAATATTAAAAGAACTCTTCTAAGTTACAAAACATCATTTACTCATATACATATAACGAGTGAAAAAGTATTCGTATCATTTATTCATCATTTATAAGTGATTTTTAATTAAATGTAAGTGCGCCAGTATCATCAAAGCATTGAAAAGTGGAGTATATTATATAAGTGAATATACATAATATAGACGCACACATATATTGTATTATATATACATAGTGTATATATATATAGTGTTTGTATATATATATATATGTATATATAATATTTTATGTATGTATATATATAAAGTGCTGAAAAGTGATATACTCGTTTCGCTCACTTTCGCTCATTTTCGGTATTATCGCAAGTTTTCAAAATGTTCATCGTCGTTATTTATGTCGCCGATATGTATATATATTTAACAAAGACTGTTTTCTATTGCATTTCACGCTCATTTTTATAAGAAACGTATTTCTGTACGAAAACCTGCAACACATTACTCTGTGTACAAACGCGTAATGTACAAAAATAGCTTTTAAGATAGCGATAAGTAATCTAACGTGCTGACCTAGACGAAACTTATTTATGAGAAGTGCTTACGTCAAATAATAATGTTCTTACTTTTTTTTAAAGAGTATTTGTCTCGAATCGCTTCGTGTTTGAACACTTGTAGGAATAAATAAACAATCTTCGTATATACTTGTATCCAGAGGTTCATTCGTTTTAGACACCACGTTCATAAGCTCGAAAATCCTTGTATTTAGAATTTAAAAGAATATATAATTCTACAAGATTTGATAAATGGTTGATAAACTGTTCAAAAAATTATGAATATCACATTAAATATTTCTCAAAAGCATCTTGACTTTCAATCCTGTTTTCTAAAGAAATGTTTTGAAGACAAATCATATCTTTGTGTATAAATTCAAGGATTATTTAAGTGAGAATTTTATAGAGATTCATCTTTTTATATAGCTCTTGTGTCTATTACTGAATATATTACAATGAAATATCTTCAATTTTATTCCACGATCGCAAGTTGTTTACCAATGCATCATGGAAATTTCATTTATCATTTTTTTCACGTTTATTTGTAAATGAGGGAATTGTATTTAAAAATACAATCTTAATAACAATGTAAGAAATACATCAAGAAAAGATAGCGAAGCAACAAGTGGACGTTTATCAATCGAGTGTTATCATTACTTTTTAGATTCATCACAACCTATTTCGAGATTGACGATCGGATAAAAATCACGCGATCTACCTTATTAGACATTGTGTGACAAAAGCAGCAACATTTGTAATCGAATTACATAGGTTCCAAAAGTTTTCGATCGAAGGATATAAAAAAGACGCTAAAAATAAACTTTTCAACTATCATTATTTATCTAATCGTCCTTTATTTCAATTTTTTTTACAATGTTGAATTAATTTCCTTATATTTCATTAAAAAATATTTTGAATTTTTGTTCTTAAAGTATCACCGTTCGGAAGATTACCTCATCATTCATTCTACAATCTCGACTCACAGTCAGTCTCAAATTATTATTTTTTATTTTCAAATGTATGTGGAAAAAAATTTACGCATTGAAGTCAATGATGTGAATTCATGTTCATTTATCACTATTTTATATTCTTGGATGGGAAACTTTGGACTCGATACATATATACGCGTATCAGTCAAACGTCTTGCGTCGTCGGGTGTTGTGTATGTACGTATGTACAATGTACGCGTGTGTTGACGCCGAGTAGACGGCCGAGTGCGCGCTTTGAAAAATAAACAAACTCGCGCGAAACTCGGCGACCGAGCGCGGGGCGGAGCAGAGGTAGAACGTAGCGGCGTTCCGCGCGTTCAGGTGCGTCGTGTGCGAGCGCGTGGGAACGCACACGCGTGCAGCCGAGTATAGTTTTTAACGCCCATACCTCGGCTCGATCCTTTCGTTCGCGTCGTGTTCGTGTGCCGCGAATCGTCTGTGACGTTTCGCGCGATCGTACTCAGGATTTTGCGGAATCTCCACATAAACGGCCGTTATCGGCGTTATTGTTCCGTGCGATTTCCATGGATCCTCACGCGTGAAATCGTCGGCCGATTTTCTTGAGTGTCGACTCGCGAAAGGACCTTGACGTTCACGACCAAGGATTCTCCGCGACAGGTGGCGATCGCGAATTCCTAATCGCGATTGGCGACATCGTGACATGGCGCAAGGACGAAGGATTTCGGCGAAATCGTCGACGGCGTCTTTTCAGGATCTGGAGGACGACTGGACTATGCTCTGCCATGACCTCAACAGCTGGACGCAAAATGGTGAGGCACAGTGATATTCTGTTAATCGGGGGATCACTTTGGACACTACAACGAGCCGTGAGTTGGTTCGTTACGACGAGGTGAAACTCGGTATTGGAGGCATTGTGTACAAGAAGCTGTGGGTATTACAACATTCGTTACGAAAGCGGTTGTGCGATAGCACTTCGTGACATTTCGTGCTTTAACGAGACTGTTGACTTATAGTAGATCGATTTCGTACATCTATCCGTTTCCGAAACTCAATATCTCAGAGAGTACCGATAACGCGGCATTCTTGCTGCTTATACCGGTCTCAAGTAATGTCTTAGATCTAAGATATTAACGGTTCTGTGACATCTTGATTGGCCTATGACATCTTAGTACTTAAAACTTAACCTTAAATATGTAAAAAAATTAGCTATGAAAATACCGCTGAATATTAATTACATCGAATTAAATATGTCAATTATATAATTATATAATTAATAATCATTATATAAATATTTATGTAAATTGAATTAAAATTTCATTAATTCAATTATAATGAGGCTCTTAAGAATAAAAATTTAAAACTAATAGCATAAAGACTGGAGAGCCAATCTGCACGCTTCTGCTAATATAATTTAATATCTCACATATATAAACAGATTTTCAATCTTTCAACAATAGGTTATTTTCAGTGTCACATTAAAAAATTTTAAAATGCTATTGAACATAAATAACCAACACGCATGCATTTAACAGTTTAGTCAAAAGATATAAGGGAATTGTAAAAATTATCTAAAAAAGACTTTGCATTTGTACGCGTGCAATTCACATTTTTTCAAAAATGAACGATTATGCTTACACACAGCAAAATTGTTTATTGTTCCGACTTTTACAGCTTCTTCAAATTTCGCCAATTCCAGTGGCGGTATGTCCAGATTTTTTATCGTGGACAGTCACAAATAAATGAATAATCTTCAAAGTAACATTAGATGAATCAAGATTTTTTTCTTTTGAATATTGCAAATACATTGCACGTTATAATCAAAGAAAGATAGGCTTCCAATGTGGATGTCTTTAAGATCGGTAATAATTGACAAAAAAATATACAATTGCATAATAAGCATGTCTAATTATTCATCCTTATTGTTTGCCAATATTAAACAAATATGAAATTATCACTGTTGCAGCTACGTTCGCTTTGGACGCTCACACGCTGAAAGTTTCATTTTATATTCCTGTAACGAGCGATAAAAGTAGAATGAAGCTTACAACATGTAAACATTCAAACCAAAGGCATAAGTCTAGTCTACTCATAATCCGTTATTATTTAAACAAGCTTAAGTAATGTCTTAAAATGCTAATACAGTTCTTACGATTGACTTATGACATCTTAAGACTGTACTTAAGAATACCTTAAATATAAAAACCGTCTATGAATCTCACCTATAAATACTAACTAGAGAGTCGTCGCAACGGGACAAAAATCGAAGGAAGGCGAGAAGGAATATTTTACCGGACGTATCGACCGTTAATGCCCGCCGGGGATTCGACGGAAACTTTCTTTTCGTTTAATAGAGGAAGATCATCACTAGCGGTGCAAAACTCCGCGACGCGGATGCATCACTTGTTGGAAAGGACCTCCAGCTGTTTATTCTTCGCGCAAGCAAGACACTGCGTATCGCGTATGTGGGAAAGGACTTTGACTAGCGGAATCGCGCGCCGATCGAAGTCTTGTTTTTTTTTTCACTTATTATAAGCGCGTGTATAATCCGACGTAACGCCGTGTGTGCCATCGTGTGGACACGTCGCTCGATTACACACTTTCCTCGTTGAAAACTATGCCGGCATGTGCGATTACGTAAAGCGCGGCTTGCACGGTTTAAACACACCGCGATCCTCCCGCATCGGCGGGCGTTATTGTCAGGTAGCGCGCAAAAGTGAAAACGCTAATAATAAATAAATGCCATTTAGCGTAAACTTTCGAATGACGTGAACAATCGAATGACAGGGTAAAGTAAAAAAGTTATGCTATTCGATTCAATTAAATAATTTTTATTTTTCGTAAAATAAAAGTTGTTCGATTTGAAAGAAAAAGGAAAAAATTAATGGAAATAATTTTTATTTCTAATAAAATTGTTATTTTGCCAATTGAGTATTTTTTAATTAAATTTATTAAATAAAATAAAATAAAATAAAACATACTTGATTGTTGAATAGCACTTTGTTAGTTAAAAATAAAAATTATTTTATGTTTGCGAATCGCGTGTATTCATAAAAATGCAAATGTAATATTCAAATTATTATTTCGAAATAATAATTATTCTCTACATTTATTTCCACAAATTTATAATTTTTATAAAATCGCGCTCAAGATAATGAAAAACTCTACCGTGCGTGGTGCAACGTGAGTAAAGTGAGTACGAAACTCATTGAAGCAAACAATTAAAATGTGTCGCCAGCGAGAGTTTTGCGCTCTCGCGGGAATACTTGTGGCATTCTGCAAACAATAAGCAAAATATTTCCGCGCGATCCACTTTCCCCTCGGAGGAGTCAGACGCAGGTGGAATCCGAATGATTTGCGACGCTTCAGCGCTGCAACTGCTATCGAGCGTTACGCAGTAATTGGCAGACCGCGAATGACAGCTTTCCTTCGTTAATAAGGGCTTCGCCTCGTTTCGAGGATTCATCGAGATCCATCGATACTTTCCCGTCAATCAGCGCTGTTTTTCGCGAGTCGCCAATTTCCCAGATTATAACTCTAATTCCCTCAATTTCCACAAATATAGAGAGATTAACTTTAATCTCGGTTCGATTTACTTCTCACCTTTTTTTAGTTCGCAAAATTAGAAAAAGAGTTAGTTGAACCGAGATTAAAGGTAATCTACATTGATTGAAATGGGCATGAAAGTGTTCAGAGGTGACAATCGTCGTCCTACTTTATAGAAATTTAATACTGAGTACTGACTTATTAATCACTTATTTTGAGTATTTTATAGTTCCTTGAATACTCAAAATAAATGATTAAGTGGCCAGTAATGATTGAATTAAATTTCTCCAAAGGCTATTCCATGATTTCTTCGATAAAATCGATACTTCTATTCGGATTAACGTATGAAAACAAACATACATGTCTTGTTTGGAAAGTCTCGCGAGGAAACATAACCCCGTGCCTCGAGATCGAATTATTCTTCCTTGAAGCGAAGAACTTGAAATTTTTTTACCATTACTCACTTCATTATATAAATTATAAATTGATCGTAGCGGTTAAAGTTGAGTGATGAGAAAAAAATTATTAATCGGAGTCTTGTCGAAGTCGCTCTATACATAAAATCGATAACTATAGATAACTTTAATTATTATATGTGTACGCAATAATTAGAGTTATCTATTTTAGTTATCGGTTTTATCTATAGAGTGACTTCCAGACAAAACTCTGATTAATATAATTTTTTACCATTACTCACTCCAACCGCTAGAAATTATGAAGTGACTCCGATCAAACTCCAATTGATTTTAATTGTTAAGTAACATTTTTATAATATTTATTAGCATGTGATGAAAATTATTAATACTATTAATTATTAATTTTGTTTGTTCTGATTAGATTAGAGACAATAAATCATACAATGAAAACATTTGCTACAAGTAGTTACAGCCGGTTGAATTAAATATCTTTCTATGAATCATTTCTTCTAATCTAATCAAACAAACAATTAATAATTTTTAGCCACGTTAGCAAAATACTAAGAAAATGTTAGTCAACAAATTAATCTCCAATTAAGTCAATTGGAGTTTGCTCGAAGTCACTTCATAAGTCGCAGCGATTAAAGTGAGTATAAAAGATAACAGATTATTAATCAAAATCTGACCAAAGTCGCATTAGATAAATCATCGACAACTTTATCGCATACATATAGAGACTAACTTATATAACTTTGGATAACTACAAACAGCATGAATGAAAAAAAAATGTAAGACTTCAGCAAAATTACCTGAAGTATAAAACACGATAATCAGAGCACAAGGTTGCTAGATCCTATAAAACCCCTCCAAAAAAAAAAAAAGAAAAAAAAATACGCAGCGATCAGAGCACAAAAAAAATATATAGATTATAGAATAGAACGTGAACTAGGTGGAGCGTAAACAGAACGTAAATAAAGTACATGTAAGACACTGGATGAGTCTGCAAAAAAACAAAATTCAATGAAAAAAAAAAAAAGTAAAACGCGTAGCTTCTCCTCTCGTTGTCGTGCACACACCGCACGATCAGTGGTTGATCAAGGATGCTCCAGATGATGCGCGTGAGAGCAGATCATTGCACGTCCGACAGATACACGCGAGTGTCGAGCGGGACGACACAAACGACAACAGAAACGTTACGGTATCGGATCGCAACGGGTCGTTAGGTAGCCAACTCCGCTAAGGCGATTAGTCTCGCATACCGATCGAAAAGAGCGGCATGAGAAAAAATACCTGGACGCAGCCGCACGCGCGCGGCCATCAGTTGCGATTGCGATAACGGTGAAACGGAAACGATGATTTTCTCCGGACAAATTGAAAGCTTTCCAGAACGCGTGCCGATTCACCCCGCGGATTCCCCCCCGGCGGAAAGATAGAGGGAAAAGATATTTACTGTTAAACTCATAATGTCAAATTGTACCCAATTGGAATTGGATATTTAATCATTTATGCAGGTCCCCAGCAAACACAGAGTAAAAACTGCCATATTGCAATTATATTCTGTGTTCTTGCTGGATTCTATCTAATATGTCATTAATTTGATTAAAATTTAATTTAAGAAGATATATTGAATTTGGCTCGGATTTAGTTTATTATTTAACGAATGCATACGTTAATATGGACGAGGCTTAAACTAATCACATCAGAAATGGATTAATTTACATTTTGATGGAAGTTGAAAATAATAAAGTGTTATTTAACGTAAGATTACCGTTGCTCCTTTCATACTTAACTGTGTACGGCGACTAATTTGTATGGTGACTATTCGTCTTTTATTGCAAAAGACAGTTCTT